GCTCCCGGCGATTGCCATCTCACCCACGGCTGCTGACATGCCAGCGTCTACCTGGCACGTCCCCTCGTGCCCTCGGTGCACCACATGCTACTGCAGCACCCACTGTTTTCACTCGCTCCGTTCACTTGGGTGCACACCCAAGGCCGGGATTTGGGCATCCCGGCTGTTCAGCCGGCAGCCCCGAGCCACAGGGAGCCCCCACGCTCAGCCGGCACAGTCACCCGATACGGCGCCGGGTCTGCCAGAGCCACCCGACACCTGGGCACGCTCGGGCGGTGCCTCGGGCCCACGCAGGGCAGAGGACGCAAAGCACGGGACGTCGGTTTCTGCAAGCTGCCAAGGCTGGTTCAGCCCGAGCCAGATGCCGTTTTTTGGCTGGCAGGGCATTTTCCTGCATCCCGGCCAGCACGACACATGACCGTCACGAGCAGATCCCAGCCAGCCTGCACTCCAACAAAGGAAACATTTACAAGACGCCGTCCTGGGCACGTCCGCAGCCAAGCGATGCCCAGGAGCCAGAGGAGCCCATTTCCTCGCCCGGACCCTCGGGGACAGCAGCCACACTGAGCAGCCGGTTCAACACCAGGGCCAGCCCGCGCTGGCGGGGGCCAGCTGCAGGCAGAGCCCAGAGCCTGCAGATACCCACAGGCACCAGCCTGGCACTGGCTGTCGGGGAGGAAAGCGCCAGGCTCTGCAGGGGCTCACCACGTACCTCGGTGTGGGCAGCAGCCCCCATGCTCCTTCTGAAAAGGCAGCACGATCACTGGGTTTTGCTTAACATCAACTTCCCTGCACGGGCATGCACTGGAGTTTCCAGCCACCTCTTGCTTTGAGTCACACTCAGCTTTCACAGCGTTCAGTGAACTTTAAAACATCATCAAACAACACTGATTTGTCTGAAACATTCTTAAAATCTGAGACTACCAGGCGTTGCCAATAATAACTACCAGCAAGGAATACAATCTACTTGTTCCCACTAATTAAAACTACTGGCAGCAAAAGCTATCCACAGCAAAACCTGGGGGGTGCTGATGAGGTGTTGGGGATTTTTCCCTTTTGCTCCTGAGACACACACACAGGTTTAATTCTTCCACCACTCCCAAGGAGCTTGACTGCACAGAAATTACTGCGGCTTGGTTCATCTGTTTGTTCTTTCCCTGGGAGCAGCATTCCAACTCCTGCGGGTGCTCAGGGGGCATCTCTCTACAAAATAAAAGACTTTTGGTGGGTTAGACATGACCTCTCTTGCACTGCTGAGGCACAGTGAAAAACCTTGAACTGAACAAGGTTTGAGACCATGAAGCAAGATTCCCAAAGCCTGACGCCAGAGGGTTTACATGACGAGTTCTGCATGCCACAACATTATTCCCTGACTCATTGAGAATCTTTATTAAGAAAGACCAGTTTTAGAAAGCTCTTCCTTCAACCGCATTGAGGCTTCTTGCTGATTTCCTCCTTGCCCCCACACAGAAGTAGTTTCAAACAAGAGAGGAAAAAAAAAAGCACGTGAGGCAGCCAGTTCAATTGGAAAGTTTCTCTCTCCTTTGCAAAAAGGGAAAAAAAAAACCACCCAGAACATAGTTACGACATTTACAGCTCTGTCTTGGAAGAGCTGCAACGTGTAAGACGTGTTTGGAAATCAAATTCACAGCTGCCAGGTCAGCCAGCTACAGTTTGCCCTATTAGGAAATAAAACAACTGTATTTGCAGTAATTAAGACTGATGAGCCCAAGTAATGACTGCGAGTATCACATCTGCTCCCCATAAACGCCTTGACTATCCATAGGAATGGGTAGCCTGCAGCAACCCTCCTCTGCACAGCGATAGCAGCAGTTGAAGCTTCTTGGCCAACAAGGACTGTGTCATCGCAAAACAGATCCCACAGAAGACGAAAACCTTTTCCATCTCCAAGGTCCTACACATAAGCACTGTGATCCCTTCTCCGGAGGGGCCTGGAACAGGAAGATTTCAAGACTTTTTGTTACATAATGCGGCAAATTGCTGCGCTTTTGAAAGCCCTGGATTGGCAGGACTCCAGAGCGGAAAGACAGAGGCTCACATTTATAAAGCACTGCAAATGCCGCAAAATATTTCTGGGACAAATCCTTTATGAAAGTGTTCTCACACCACTCCTTTTTGGGGTCAGAGGAAGAGGGACATCCCCTGCCCACACAGGGGGCTATGCCCAGGCACCTCTGCCTCCCCTTGCACATCCCTCCAGCTCAAAGCTTTCCTACTCTGGACACACACCTGGCATTTGCTGCCACTTGAGCTTGCAAAAGCTTTCCCAGGAAGCGGGCACTCGGAGCGGCTGGCAGAGCTGAGACTGGAGAAGGGCAGACGTCCCCGCTCAGCTGCAGGGTGGGGGGCAAAGCCCCAGCCCCAGCTTCTGCCCCCACGGCCCATGGCCGTGCCAGAGCCTGAGCAGGCTGGCAGGGCAGCCCTGTGCCGCTGCGGGCAGAGGCTCACCCAGCACCTTGGCATGCTCCTCCTCGGCAGACACAAAGTCCATGGCGGCTCATCCCAGCACTGCCTCCACTCCCACGCTCCTCCTGTGCTCTCCCGGCTCCAGACAGGGACACGGCAATGCCTGGAGCAGGATCCCAGCAGCAGCAAGATCCGCAGGGACATCCCTGCTGTACAGTGGCCAAACTCCTTGTGCCTTTGTCGGCGAGACCCAGCCTTCGGCCAGTAAACACCAACACTGGAACGCCCGGGCCAGGCAGGATGGGCACAAAGCTGCCCCTTACCGAAGCACCAGACGCACTCCCCAAGGCAGGTCCCACCTTGAGCCCCCAGTACAGGGGAGGGACACGGGAGAGGGACGCCACTCCCCAGGAGCCTGGCGAGCGCCCGTTCCCACCAGCGCCATCCCGAAGCGTTGTCCGAACAAGAGCCCAGAACACATCCACCATCCCCAGCTCAGCTCGCAGGGACAGGCTGTTTCAGAGCTCAGCACATGGCGGGACAGCGCAGGGCCACCAACACCCCCGTGGGACATTAGTCTGCAGCTCATGCGTGGGGAGCCCGCGGACACCCAGCACCCCTTCTGGTGCCCGAAACGAACCCGAGATCTCGTACTTACCACTGGGGAAACGGAGGTGCTGGCAACGGCGAGCTGTTTGCAGCCAATAATGCTTTATAGCTTCGAATTTGGCCTTTTTCTGGCCAGAAGCAAGATGAAATAGAGTTTGTTGAGCGCTAACAAGACACCACTTTCACCAGTTTTAAGCAGGTTTATGGCATTAGGCACAGCGAGGGCTGTAATTCCAGCAAGTGCCCATGGGCAGGGTTTAAGCCGGCGGCACATGGCCTACGTGACTCCCCCAGCCCGCCAGGGCTCCGCACCGAGACAATGGCCGATTGAGGTCCTGCTCAGCCGCGGCCTTTGCCCGTGGGGTGAGGTGAGGTCAGCAGCACGGGCTGGCTTTGCTCAAGGCTGGCAGCCCACACGGGCAACCTCAACGATTTTG